TCCCGTGTGTTTCAATTAATAAGGACGGCACGAGTGTGCAGGCTGCTTGTAACTGCGTCGATCAATGTATTCCATTATAATTGGGAACAAAAGGATAGGTGTGCTACGAGTAAATTGGAACATCGGACGAGTGCTTCGTATACGAGCCACCATTTTCGTCCCTATCGTTTTTAATCGTCGTTTATTAAAACCGCGACAACGTTATATTAACCAATCGGTCATAACACTGCTCCCGGGAGGCAATAACCAAAATATATCCCCACCCCTATCGTGGAAAGCAAATTGCGTTAAAAGTAATATCACCGATCCGCGTCGCTCGAAAATTGTTCGCAGCGTGTTTTGCGTTGGTCGCGTAGGCGCGAATTAACGATACGGTTCGTGATTCTGAAAGACGGATGCGTAATTCTCCAGGGATACCGTTCTGAGCATTTACATGTATACGTACGTGTGCACGGCTTCTTTTCATTTTGAAATGTTCCTGTACAGGGTGTTCGTCGCGACAGTTGCCGGGAATTTTCTAAGACTGGCTAGAGGAAGAAGACGCCTGGGGGACGAACAAAGTAATAATATATGTATGAATATTTTTTTGGCGAATGAAAATAGTTCTGTTATTTCTCCGAGGTTGTATCTTAGTATACTTAAAGTAGAACAAATTTCTGCTCGAGTGTATAGTTTCTAGAAATTCTCTAACAAGGGGTTGTTTAAGGACGTGCATGCAGTTGTCATAGGAAAAGTTCAAGTATTTTTTTCCATGATTTAAATACGTATTTGGACCCAAAACGAAAAGTGCTTTTGTGATACAAGTATCGAAGTTAATGTGTAAATTTTTTTGTTAAGATATAATAAAAAATGGTTGAGATGCGCAGCGAGTATCCAAGAGCGTTATTTTTCCCAGTGCGAACGCTTCGTTTGAAGCATGCTAAATAAATAATTCTGATGTTTATGAATTATTGTTTGCAAAATAGCTAGTAGTCTTATCGAAAAGCTTCACTTTTCGACTTTCAAGAATCACCCTCACTCCTTAATAAAACAGCAAGTTTTCACGGAAACAAATATTCCTTCGTCCATCAAATTACACTCTGAAGCTCCTTCCACTAAACGTCAAATATTAAGTCACATTTTTCATCGCGTTATTCGAAGAGCCTGAAAATCGCGAGCGACCGTTACGCTGACGGTCACCCAGTATAAGGCGCGGGACTTGCGCTTTTCGAGCAGGTAACTCTCGTTAGAGAGGTCGACGAATGGATCAGACCTCTGAAACGGAACGGAGTTATGAACCGATCGAGGATCCTCCCTCGTCCTTATCACTTATTCAGTATTGGTACATATCTGTACGCTGCCTGCGCTTGGATATTTTATAGAAACCATTGCCCGTGTCGGCGCTTCGCCGTGCCATGATACCTGAGGACGCGGGTTGATGATCGGACGAATCGTAAAATCGATGAGAAACCGTTGAAGGCGTTGAAGGGGACCCTTTTACCGGATTGGCAAAACCACGATCGCTACTGAAAGAAAAGTACGCGCCCCCCCCCCCCCCGTACACCCGCCCAAACCCACCTCCCGTCAGGTTTGTTACATAGACTTCTTTGGACTGCTGTGACCCGTCGAATCACCCCCTTCTTAATTAACGAACGATTTTTGCGATGGAAAGGAATGAAAGAAAATCGGCTCCCAAGGCGGGCATTATATAATCGATAGAATTCTCGTCAAAGGATCGACTTCCTGACTTCTGTTTAATTTTATAGATTAGCCATTCAACGGTTCCTTTAACTGCGTAACCACTCTGTCTGGAAGACTTCGTTTTATTTGGCCGATCGGCTCGAACGGAACCAGTCGAGTCCCACGGCTTGTTACACTCGCGCGAGCAGTGATTAAGATGGAAAATTTTCATCCGTTTCATTAAAAGGACGCCATTAATATTGATGGTCCACTTCAGCGTTTCGAAATTGTTCACCTATAACGCGGGGAAAGAATTTGTATGCTCGGTTGGAATATTACTGTATCGGAGGAGAACATTTTTTTCGTTGCGAGAGTATCAAGTATGAAGAAAAAGGGGCTTGTTTTAATTATTTGCGTGGTTTAAAAAAGCTATATATGTAAGTTTTTATTGTATAGCGTATATGAGTATGCTTCTTCGTGGTCGTTAATTGTTTAGTTCTACCTTTGCGCAAGCGTTCTCCCGATTCTTATTAATTTTAATAAATTTCTTGGTGAAAAGTAACGATTAAATTGTATGTACATTTCCGAGCAGTTTATCGTAGAGAAACGCTTTAATCGTTGATATTTATTGTTCTCCTCGGGGTTTTAAAATCGTCCAACCGTAATGCGACAAAGAAATTGTACGTTGCGTGAAATGTTAGAAAAATATTACGGAAGATTTTTTTTACGATAAAAAGTTTGTTAGCATGCACGTGCAATTAAAAGAAGGAACTTTTTCCTCCAATATTCGATACATTCTATCGAAAGGCTCAGCCCCGAAGAATCAACCTGCCATAAAGACCGAAAGCGATGTTATCCCGCAAAACATTTCGTATAGTTTAAATTTAATGAAAAATACCTGAAATAAGAGTTATCGAAAATATTTCGTTTGATGTCTGGCGGAACCCAGTACGACCCGGACCTCTGTTCCACCAATACTGTCAATCGGACGTTTACGCTTCGCATTTCCAATATTTTTGTATCCATTTAAAAAACTATATATACTATAAATCACGGGTATTGTGTTGCAACGTTTTTATCCTGAACATCCATCCCCGTCGCGAAATAAATGCAGACACCAGGCACAACTTTGAAAATTTCCCACGCAATTTTTTTAAATCGGTCCGCCTCAACCACGCGAGTATCACGAGTCCATCTGTCATCATTATCCGCCACCTTGGAAATCCCAGTCGAACGTTACAACCATCCACACACCCTCGAACAACGATTCGAGGGGTAGATTTTCAATCGAACAGACGTTTCGTCAACCTCAAACTGGCCCCTGCCAAATAGTTTGCAGGTGTGGACAACGGTTCTCTCTTTCAAGCTCGTTGTTCCAACCCTCCCTGGCGTCCCTTTTTACCCCGGTCCTCGTGAATGGGACCCGATGGCGTCAATGACCCACATATAAATGTTACCAATTTTCGTGATTCTGTAATAAACCATCCCCCGAAAATATTCAGCTAAACCAAAACCAGGGTATGCACAGACGAGATATTAGATGGCAGGTTTGTTTGGTAGTGTAATGTAAGGAGATTATAGTATAGAATTCTGTAGTATGCTATAGATCGTAGTATAAAACTGTACAGTATAGTATAGATTATGCTAGGGGATGTAGGATGTATTGTATAGATCAGATCCGCTGGTCAATTTCGTATCTGTGATTAAAACATGTATGTATGCATGTAGAGTTTCGTTAGCGTCTCCATTTTTTCAAAAACAGAGATCAATACGTGTATATATCCACATTCATGCGCATAGAATATTTTCAAAAGATGAAAAATAATATTAATCCACGCATACAGCCAGTCCCATTAATATTCGTAGCCTCCATGTCTATCGAAAGAATTTGTTTAAATTATATGGTAGGTTTGATGTTTTCAAGTGTGTGTTTGCATAAATATGTCGATATATATGTAAATAAATACATGTATAAGCTTGTTCATGTACACATTTATAATGAGTAATTCATTTGGTAATATCGAAACTATTATTTAATTTAGTGAAACTTTTTCAGAGGACATATAGGGTACCAATGTTTATGGTATCGACTGTAGGTCGACATACGTACATACATACACACACGCATACGCACAGAATGTTTTCAAAAATCGAAACAGCATCAACAACCCCTACAGATACTGCTGAATTCGAGCTTCTCTAATAAACTACTCCTGAGATAAAACAATACAGCGATCCATATAAACACCATGCCAACATGCGTACGCAAAACTTTCTATCCATTTCCATTTTCAGACTCAACACCGGTGCTTAAGCGAAACTATCAGCCCCGACGTTTGCAGCCGATGTTCCCCATATTTCTGGTCATCCCGAAAAACCTCCCATGAATCACGGTTATTGTGTTGGAACGTTTTCATCGCGGGCATCCGTCCTCGTCGCGAAATAAATACAGAAACCCGTGAGCAATTCCGAAAAATTTCCCACGCAATTTTTTAAAACAGCTCCTCCGACCGCGGCGGATCCATCTCGGTCCATCCGTCATCATTATCCATCACCTTGAAAATCCCTGTCGGTACGTCAAACGCCGCGAAACAACCACCGGCCGCCTCTGACCCCCTACCGTCGACGAGTTCTCGATTCGACCGGAAGATTTCAATCGAACCCGACGTTCCGTCATCCTCAAACGCGTCCCAACCGAACAGTCTGCAGGTGTGGACATCGGCTACGAGTAAAACGGTTGCTCCTCTCCTTCAACCTCATTGTTCCATTCCACCCCCTCTCGCGGCCGCCCCTTTTCTCCCCTGGCCGACGTCTCTTCTCCTCTCCTTCTCTCATCGAAAGTGGACACATGCTTGGCCCTAGTCACCGTCCCTACGAATTCCAGGGATCAATGCGTCGGTGCACCAAAACGCCTGCGCCACCCCCTTGGACCCCACCACACCCACACCGCTTAGCCAAGCAGCAGCAGCAGCACCACCAGCACCAGCACCAGCAGCAGCACCATCATCAGCAGCAGCACCAGCAGAAGCAACGACGGTGATGGCGCGACGGTAGTGGTTTCCTACACGTACGAACCTCCCCCGCTCTTCTCACCGACGCATACAAAGCACACTCCCACCACCACATCGGCGTCCGCGCGAATCCCAAAGTACGTAGACCCCAGGCACGCCGGTGTCAGAGTGCTGGTGCGTACCGGCTGGTGGTGCCGCCGATGTTCCTGGTCGTGTGCCCACAGAACTCTCTTCACCGTCGGAGGCAAAACCCTCCGCCTTTCGCTCCCCCTATATCGTTCAACCCCCTCCACCCCCACGGAATATACCCCACGTCCCTTTTCTCCCTCTTTCAGAGGCTCCTACAACGTCGCGGCGAGGGTGAGGACGGACTCCCCTCTCCTGCAACGTGCGCGGCGCCCGACCCTCGGAAATTCTGAAAACGTTTCGCGCCTGTGCAGCTCGCGGGGGTGGCGAGGGACCGAAAATCGAGGTGAAAGGAAACGTCCGCGGATCCGGCCTAAGGGTCTCTCCTAGGGCTGGTGCGTAATCGGTGTCCCGACGAAAATATTCTTCGGCCCCGCTGTGCGTGTGCGTCCTACGTGTACCACGAATACAAACCGACCCTTATCAGCGCGACCGCGCGCACACCTGGCCGTATCGCGTCCATCCCCCGATAACCGTGTGTCCTTCTCGTGTCCCGTCGTCGTACTTCGGTTTTCGTAAACACGCACGCAACGCACACGCGTCGCGGTAACGACGTAGGGTATATCTCGGTTTCCGTGCGTGACTGTGTGTATACGAGCGGACGCATCGGCGAGGATTTACATACGGGCGGATAAAGCGCGTCTCGACTGGCGTACGGCCGTGCAGCGTGCGAGTCCGGGGATCCACGGGCGATCGTCGCGATACAACACCAGGGGGATAGAGAGGACAGTTGCACAGAGTGCTCCGATAACCGACGACACGGCGGACTCGTTCGATCGCGGCGGTGGTGGTGGTTTCTTCCTCGCGTGACACACTTTTGTCGCCAGAGAGAAGAGAAACTCTCTCTCCTTTGGCAGACCTCCGAGAGAGGAGGGAACCGTCTTGGCGGACTGTGCGACAACCTCCCGCAAAAATTGATAAGTGCCCGCGGCCGCCTAAGTGAGAGTTCACCGCGGGTGATTCGCGAGTGTGATTCAGGCCCCGTGATCAGTGATCCGAGTTTTATTGGTGTCTGACTGAGAGGTTTAATCCTCTTCGACCCGTTTTGGAAGAAGTACCGATTCCGAGCGACTGGCGGCCGTGATTGCTCGCTTGGATCCCGCGCTACCTTGGAGCCAGCCGGGATTTTCGATTAAAGACCAGGTGGATCGCGTAGTACTCGTGAATAACGGGGGTATCATGTGTCCCCGATTGCAGCCCTCCTTTGAGGGTTGATCCGACGATCCAGGTTCCCAGTGGCCCGTGTGTGATTGTGCGCTGGAACTAGACCGTAGACGTCTTCTTAAGGGACACCGATTTCGCTGAGGGAGCTGGTCCCATCGAGGACTAACCGTGTACCACATCCCCGCGTTGAAAGTGAGTCTTACGATGCATCATTTTACCTCGTCCAGATAGATCGACTCGCTTAGCAACTATAGGGATAAATTACTCCGAATCTCTCTAATCGTCCCACGTAGAATCTGTTTTTTATATACGTTCTGACCGCTGGAAAAATTGCTGCGTCGAATGCCAAAAAGTACCACCGAGTGGTTAAAGTTTTAAGTGAGTTTTACGATCTGATGCTTCATTTCACCCTCGTCCAGTTAAACCAACTGGCATAGCAACTCCGAGAGCGAACTATTCCGAGTCCCTCTGGCCAACCGCGTAGAATCTCTTTTTATATACGTTCTGCGCGTTGTGCAGAATTGCTACGTCGAATGGCAGAGTATCAACGAGTGCTTTATCGTCGTTCGTGATTGAGAATTTATTAACAGTTTGTACAGCTCCGCGCAGCAGCCGACCAGTGACTTCGAATTTAGAATACGAGAGTGGCTTGGTGTCTGGAGAGGGTGTAACTACGTAGTTGACGATTTTTGGTTGGGGTTGAAATCGGGTTTGGTGTGCTTTCGTCGATGGCAGAGTTCCGGCAGATTTCGTGTTTCTCAACGCTGATCGCGTTTGTTTAATCAGAGCAGAAGTTTGTTAATTAACGCACCTGGATGAACGTGAAATTTGCAGGAGAGCAGATGCGAGCCTGATCACTTTGATATTTTTCATTGTTGCTGAAAAACGGTAGTGGGATTGAACACAATCCATTTGGGAGCTTCGAAACCACAATAGTATTTTAATCCTCTGTAAAATTGTAATGCCAGATTTTGAAATTGAAAGAATGTCAAAGGAAATTTATTGGACACCGATTTCTTTACTCTATGGAAAACTGTGAACAAACAACATTAGCATTAAACACTTTTTCAACGTGTTATGGTTCAAAGTTTCATCGAAGGGGTTTTTCACCCCCCAAAATATATTTTTCAACCTCGTACCAGTCAGCAAAGTGACAACGTGATTAGGTTACAACAAATCTTCGACCCTTCTTCTCTAATCATAATCGCGGATTATATTTGCTACACGCTGATATCGAACCGATGTATTTGCAAGCAAAACAGATCACCGGATAATTTCTTGTGAAACTGCCTAACCGAAAATCCCTACCGTAAATACTTCTATCACTTTGGCGCAACTATAACGGGTGTTCAGTGGCGAAATCGGCTAACTTCGTTGGCATAGCTGACAGATCATTCCGTACAATAAATAGTATGTAAACAATAGATTCATTCGGTCCCGTTACCGAGAAATGGTCCGAAATACCGATACATTTATCTCCTCGAATGCATTAGAAGATTATATACCTATTCCTGCTCGGATTGAGATGAGTTGTTCGCCACGGTGTTTATATTTTGTAGTCGTAACAGTAATACTTCTATCTATCCCATGCAAGACGACGACGCTCTTGAAACTACTCTTAGTATTAACAACAATCTTGTCGATATTGAGCGGTCTGTCTACTTGAGTCTATTTGCGTGCCGTAAGAGGCACGAGGAAAAATGGGGAAAATTGTAGTTTACGTTAAATTTCGAGTAAGGAAAACAATGAACTTTCGTTCAACGAAACATGAATTTACGACATTTAGCTGTTACAATTTTTGTCTGGATAAAAAGTTCGAAAAACGAAGAGTACTATAAAATGAAAAGTCTTCCAAAGGTGTTTTATTGTTTAATAAAACACAGATAGTATAAACCGTATTCGATTTTGTCTATTTTAAATGAACACGTACCTGATTACATTTAAATTAATTAACTTTACTATTATAAAGCAAAAATCAAAAGCACCTCATAGGAAACATTTTAAAATCACGCCTAAACGAGCCTAAAGCACGAGAGTTGGCTCTGTTAGATAACAGCGAATTAGTAAAGATTTTATAGTGCGATCCAACGCATTCGGGTGACGAGAGACGCGTTGTATTTTTTGAAAATCCCTTGGAGATGAGGGCAACGAAACGAAGTTAAGCAATGTCGGTTAATGGCATTTTAGAGTAAGACGATGGAATCCAATTTATCCATTTCACGTCGCTTTGTCGCGACTAAAATCCCGAAGCAAGGTAAGCTGTGTTGACTGACCTACAACGAATTCAATCAACAAAGCGAAACCTTATCTTGCGCGAGTCCTGTGTGTTAGCGGATGATAATGCGTTTATCTACACGCCTCGCCGTACTGCTACGGCTTTCGCGATCGCGTCGATTTTTTTCCACCCAATTATCTAAAAACATTTCAATCGTAAATGCGACGCCGCGACTACGGCTGCCACGGTAATACCGTGAAGCGCCAATTAGCAGACAAACCGAGACGTCATGTTACGCTTACTGTGCGAGAAGACGTACCGTAATGAAGAAAATACCTGTCGTCACATCGCCTACGTATATTCCGCGGATGCTCCGCTCTAAAGTACATTCGATGTCGGTGAAACATGTTTTGTTATGCCGATTTTTTTACGCTTTTAATATCCTCGCGTATTAAATTTGAGAGTTAAGCATCGAAGTAAGGAGATTTCATGTCGCGTTACGTGGAAACTATTGACGATAGGAATGAGATGTATAAGACTTTTTTGTAGAAAATATTCTCATCTCCAATTTTGGTTATTACTGTTTTTGCAGTGGAGTGAATAGGTTCTGAGATATCTGCGATAAAGTGTCAGCTGGTAGTTGTTGAAAGTTGTTTGAATTTATTTGTACGACGGTGGTTGGTTTTTCGACGATATCTCGAAAACTGTTGAATTTACTGCGAAAATGGTAGCGACTGAAAATAAAGATAAGGAAATCCTGGTTCAGAAAAGCAGTCGCTGAAAGAGTAATGAAATTTAGTCGAGCAACGACAGTCGAAGATCGTTGCGTTACTCTTCCATTGCAGGATCCGAAAGGAACTTTCCCAGAAGTTCGTCGGTCATTAGTTAACAACTTTTTTTGTACTTGTGGTGGAATTTCCTGGATGTCAATAAGTGTCGAGATGATTATAATTATTATAAATTCTTCAAACGTACGAAACAAATATTCTTTGACATGCATCTAATTTATATTTTCTATTATTGTCTATTAATTCAGTTCTTTAAAAGAATTGCTCTCCCTTCTCTTCTTCTTGCCTCATTTATTTCTATTCACATATGTAGATGAACGCACTACCACAACCTTACCGAGACTCGAAAACCTTTAAATTGGACTTACATTGTACAAGGAGTTATCCGCGTAATTTGAAGGTTCATTAAGTAACGCTCGACTCTTTCTTCCCAAAGGGAAACATCCGGAATTAGGCACAATGAAATAGAAATGTTCTTTTGAACGAACCCAACGCTCACCGATGCGACGCATTCAATTCGATCCACGGAAGGGGAACGTACACGCTAACTACATATCATTTTCTAAATGCAAATCCGACGAATCGTCGAGTATGCATTCGCGATTCAGACTGCTAGACAGCACGTTCATCGAATTTGTCGCCACGTTGACTTTCGTCGTTGAGGTTATTCAACAATTCGTTATTTATGCAAACTCCGTTGGATATTCAGGAGATCGGACAAAAAGAATTCCGCCACGAAACACAATGGCGCGCATTGAGAAGATTTATGTATCGTTTCAAAAGGATTCGCGGCCCAGGAACCGTGGACGTCTATTCGGTCATTTGATAAGGGGAAATTGAATTTTTCTATTTTCGCGTCAACGTTGATATTTATCTGTCATTTTCATCTCGAATTGCTGCTTTAGAGAAAGTAAAAAAACTCAAAAACATTATCTCGTGCAGAGAGGCTATATTTGTCATTCAAGATTTCCTTTAAGGATTTACTAATTCTCTACAATCCCACGTGATCATAAAGTCACATTTTTTATCAATATGTATTCAATGCAATAGTACGTGCTAAGACTTCTCACTTCTGATAGAAGTTTTTGTGTTTTTGTAAATTTACCTTTAGACGTATATCCCTTAGGAAATGTCTGTTGGCATTGTTGACCGACGTGACCGTCTCCTCAAAACTTAATACGAAGCGAGCACTCGTCTTTTAAAGAAAAAAGGTTGCTGCCATATAATCGCTGATTCGATGGCTCACTTATTTTTCCAACTTTATTGACGTTCGTGATTCTCTTGGATTTATTTTCGAACGCCAAAACCGATATCTTCGATTCGGTTACACAACAGGCAGCACTCGCGAAACAAAATAAAGATTGCGGTTAAAGTATCGGAACATAATATTGTTGAAATAGTGAAGGGGCGAAAGTAAATATTATGAGAAATGTATTCTAAACACACGCGGTTTAATTCAGGTAAACATTCCGACTCGCAATTTGAGCGTCCTCTAATGTATGGAATTGTGTGCGCAGAAATATTGAAATCCCATGTTGAAACGATAAATTAATTACTTTGTGTGTTTGGAAAACCTGTAGGTTCGTAACGCAAAATTTCTATCGAGAGCTAAGAGCAAAAAGAACGACATTCGTGTTAATAAATTAATTATTACATACTGATACACGCTGGTGTAAAAATATTTATATGAAATAAACTAGGTTTGTGTGGACAGTATATTTTATGATATTTGTTCTGAGTAAATTAGGGAAACATTATGATCACAGTTAACCGCGATACCAGTCGTTGTTTGCTTATTTAAAAAAAAAGAAAGAAGAAGATCTTAAATGTCCTCTCAGACTTCTTACTTTATTACAGAAGTGAATAATAATCGTTCACAAAAAAAAGTTAATACCCAAACAGCTTAGAAAGCCATTTCCAGCAATTGATTTTCCCACCCAGTCCGAATAATTAAATCGAACTTTGAAACGATTTAATTATTCGGAAGCGGAAGACCGAAAAAACAATATCGTAGATGGTGTCAAAAATGAACGCCACGACAATGAACAGTATACAATGATTCCAATCGTATCGCGTATCAGCCCCATTAAAGTCGCGCTATTTTCGCCCCGGCGATTTCCTCCGAGCAACCCAGGAGAAGCACGACAAGACAAGAAGAAAAGAACAATGGAAAAAGAAGAAAAACAGGG